AATATATGAATCAAATGATAGTACTCCACAATAATACAGACACTTAGTGTTTACTAATCAAATATATGAATCAAATGATAGTACTCCACAACAATTATCATAAAATGTTGCAATAAATACTTGCCGAAGTACAACCAAAATGCATATCAATGTGTACTACAAGCTGCACAGACAACCGCAAAATATACAGACATTCCTGTACGTATGCCACAGACAAAAAAATATTGGAAGCACATTGTAGAATTATTGTACAACATGGCTCGGCCATTATTGTACAAAATACTACATCTAACCACCAGTATGTCAAAAAATACATCTACCCCCAATGTGTTTTTAATAATTACATATACAAAAATAATTGTTTTACAACATCGATCTTGCCATCATTGTTCATCATTGTACAGACATTTAGCTTGATTGTCTTTCATCTTCCATAGGCGTTTAGCATACTCACGCCTCTTATCTTTCATCGATCTTGCAAGGTTAGACATTCACTAAGCAGTTCTAAGGCATCTTCGTAGTCAGAGCGCACAGAGTATTGTGCGGGAAAGTAGTCTTTGATGGGAATCTTCAATTCCATCCTGCAAATACAGACATTTGTCAGAAATACAGACATCTATGAAAACTATATAGACAACTCTGCAATCGGCAAATGCTTATAAACAAGTAAAAAATGAAAATACATATGCAATAACACACTACACAAACATCTATGAAAACCATAAAGACAACTCTGCAATGCACAAACGTATCAAAACAAACAACACAGACATCTCAGGGGACATATATACACAACTCTACAATCCGCAATTGCTTATAGACAAGTACAAAATGAAAAAAAAACATATGCAATAACACAGTACACAGACATCTATGAAAACCATAAAGACAACTCTGCAATGCACAAACGTATCAAAACAAACAACATAGACATCTCAGGAAAACCATATGGGTTTTGAACAACATTTTACAGATGGCTTTTAAAAAGTAAAAACGTACAGACAAGCATCACACCCACATAGACATCTCATACAAGCCATAAAGACAACTCTAAATCCGCAAACATATAGCAAAACACTAAACAGACATTTCAGGGGAAACCCACAAAAAGAACTCTGCAATGCACAAACATATAAGAACACAGTCTACAGACATCTTAGAATACACAAAACAACACACTACACTGACATATCAGAAAACTCATCTCAGAAAAAACACAACAATGAAGATGGTTATGAAGATCTTTACCTCTGAGCCAATTGAGTCAATGATGTGCGCACCATATCCTTCGAAATCGAAGCCTTGCACTTAAAATTTTAGATGAATTTCAACCTCGCCCTTCGAAATCAGTAACCGCCGTACGTACGAGTTCAGTGGAGTGAAGCGGACGACGGCCGGGGGGGTTTCGTGACCTGCGAACGGAGAAGAAGAGGGAGAAGGGTGTCAACTTCGTCGTAGGTGTCAAATTCGACGGACGAACGGAGAAGAAGAGTGAGAAGGGTACAGATGAATGGAGAAAGGGAAGGAGAAGGAGAAGTGGGGCGGGTTAGCTCAGAAGGAGGGTGGGGTGGGTTAATTACAAAAAGGGGTGGGGGTGGGGCTTTTTGTGCTGTGTACACCGGTGTGTAAACCGGGGTGTACACAACGAATTTTCCTTGTTTCTAATAGTCATTGGGAAGCTGCTACAATGGTGAAAAGCTTCATCAGTTTTCAAAGTTTGATTTGAATGAATACATCATGGAAGAGACAAGTATGAGGTCATGGTAAGTTCCTTTTACTTTACTTATATTAATTCATTATATAATATTTGGTGGAGCCGTACCTTCAAATTTCTAAGGTCTTAACTTTGAAGTTTCTCACTTCTTTAGTTAGTAGTAATGCAGATTGTTTTGATGCCCAAGTCAAATTCACAACTTTTAAATCTATTTTTCCAAAAGATTACTTTTTTCCTCTCGGACACAAGGTTTGACCCGATCTATATGAACTATTTTTGTTATTAAACATTTACAATACACACATTTATGAAAATGTGAAACTTTAACAAAAGTCCACTAATACTCTTGGCATGAGCATTTTGAAAAATATGAGAGATGATGTAATGCTAATTTATCACTATATTTCACCGGATTATATATTTATATTCATTGATGAGGCATCTTGATGGGTGGTTTTTCTTTGATAGGCTTAGGTGGTTTGTTGCCCGAGGAACTCAGGCTTCTGATTAATTTTAGATGCATTGATGAATATGGAAGCCTGGAAGTTAGTTTGCCAGACAAATTAAAGGATGAGAAGTTTTGATCAGTGCATATTTCAATCGTTCAAGTTGTTTGTGAATTCAAACTCTGTTTTCCCAAATACCTTCTTTAATTCTAAATAAGCTAAATTAAACTGGCGTTTTTCTGCCCTTGATAATAGTTGTAGATTTCTTGAATGAAACTATGAATTTCTGACCACTGTACTGATCCTTCTTCAAAGTATAATTTTTTCTGAGTGAAGCTCTCATATGTAGTGCTTTTACGTTTTAGAAGATAATTTTGTTACCAATTGAGCTAGATAGTTTTTTCTCTCATATGTAGTTTTCAAGTATAAGATAAGTCGGCTAATAAGTGAGCGGGGTAATTTTCTCTCTTACATGTGCTTTTAGGTATAAGACTATTAGTCGTCTAACAATTGATTGAGAAAATTTTCTCTCTCATAAGTAGTGGTTTTAGGTATAATATCATAACATGATCCGGCTAACAATTAAGCGGGATAATTTTCTCTCTAATATATAGTGCTTTTAGCTATAAGATAAGTCGGTTAACAATTGAACGGTAGAATGTTTCTCTCATATGTAGTGCATTAAAGTACTACATCCGTTGATTCCGTTCTAACTTGATTTGCAAAATTGACTTTTCTTGATTAAACACTTGCATTTTATACACTTAACCAGGATGCCAATTTTTACTTATATTCTTATTTGGAGTTTTCAAATTTGAAGATATATTAATGCATTTTCCGAATATATAAATTTAATTGCTAAAAATTGAATTAATCAATAAGGAGGATTTAACTTTAAATTGGTTGATTAAAAATGTTACAAATCAATTTTGGACGGATGGAGTATAAAATAAGATAAGATATGTTGACTAACTATTGAGCGGTATCATTTTCTTTCATATGTAATGCTTTTAGATATAAGAAGATTTTAGGCATGGGAAAATTAGGTCATTAGGCGACTAACAATTGATCAAGGTAGTTTTTCTTTCATATGAGTAAAAATATATGCACCAACGATTTATATGAGTAAAAATATATGCACCATGTTTTAGTTTTTCTTTTAGGGAGTAGTTCTTATAAGTACTCTCTCCGTCCCGTTAAGATTGTTTCATTGTATTCTTATTTTTCGAAAATGTAGAATCTTAAAAGTTATTTTATTTTAATATTTAATAAGATAATGAGTAAAAATATATGCACCAACGGCTCTTTCCCGGGCGTAACGGGTACTATACTAGTTTTTTGTATAAAAAAAGTTACTCAGTACTATTTTTAAGTAAAAATCCAAATTTGATCCAGTACGAATCCAATATGTACAAAACTAGAATAATCTCATCCGATTGATCTTGAATCCAATCTTGAATCAGATCGTGACTTTTCTATCATTTATGGGACTGAAAAATCTTACGTATTTGCTACTGTGACTAATCGCTAAAAGTCAAAGAAAGTTGTTCCCAAAGTTAATTAGTACGTACTCAGTTAGCACCTTACACTTGGCATAAATCGAGCACACGCTTCCACCTATCGTGGATTTAAACATTGTGGTCAAACTTCAAACTTCAGACGTCAAACGTCAACGTTTAATAACCTTTGTTGCAGCGTAGATGGTCCCGCACTCCCGCATGGATATATAGGGGTGTTTGGATCAGTTTCTGCTCCTTCAGGAAGTACAAGCAGAAGTTAGAGTGTTTGGGTGAAAGTGCAAAAGTGATTCTGGTGATATACTGTTTTAGAAGCTGGGGGTACCAGCTTCTCAAAACTGATTCTGATTCTGCTTCTGCTCTAAAAAAGAAGCAGAAGCAGAATCAGTTCCAAACACCCCCATAGTCTCCCTCCATCTCTAATTTTTCCTCCGCATGAATATGGATAAATGAGTATTGTATGTTGTGCAGATGAGAAAGAAATGTATATATGAATCACAATTTTTTTTCAAAAAGGGAAAGTAGGAAGTTTTTTAATGTACATATGAATCACTATTCTCATCATTTATTTGTTGAAAGCCCCTTAGTACACTAACACATCAAACATGTGACTTTTAATATCATGTATGGAATTGTGTAATAATAAGAAAAAATATGTTATAATCTTTTTTTTGACTATATTGACTGATGTTAGTGTAGATGATCATTTATTTGTTGAAAGCCCCTTAGTACACTAACACATCAAACATGTGACTTTTAATATCATGTATGGAATTGTGTAATAATAAGAAAAAATATGTTATAATCTTTTTTTTGACTATATTGACTGATGTTAGCTATTTTCCATATAATTTTTTCCTTATCTCATTACTATAATATGTTTTAAATACTATATATGTTTTTTTATAGGGAAATTTACTATTAGCCCCCCAAGGTTATGTCATAATTATTATTGCAATCTTGCATTTTCAAAATTCAATTGGTTACCCCCTCAGTTTTGGTCATTCTCACTATATGCCCCCTCACGTTAATATTTCTTAAAATAAATTAAATATAACTCTAAATTCAATGTAAGTTGTCTATAAATTAATTTCTAAAGTATAACATATAAAATTTATTATCATAATTATAAGTCATTGTTGTTGATCGTTATTTTTCTATACTTACTTACTCGATCGTGGAATCCTTATACTTAATAGCGATACAAATCAATCTTCACCGTTCATTTATATTTCATCTCACCGTTCATTTCAAAATCTCGGCCTTTCCATCAAAATATCATCTACGAGTATTGCTTATTGGTTTCCTTTCTATTTCCTTTTCTATTTCGCTCTGTACAAATACATCTTAACTTCTCAAATGTCTTAGAAAATAAACCTTCATCGATCTGCTCCTTTCCTCTACATCCGACGTTCTTCTTCCGCTGCTGCAAGTCCACGGCCTTCCATCAGCCGATGTTTTCCCTTCCGCTGATCAGCGCTCTGTACTAAATCTGCTGCAAGTCCACGGCCATCCAGCACCTACGGCCAGCAGCTAAATCAATTTCCCCCTTGGTCAAGCTATGACTGTCGTCTCTCACCGCTACACCTCTTCACCTCCTTGGCTCCCGTTCGCCCGCACCAGTCCTTCCCTTCGAAGATGAAGTATTCAGCCGCACCAGTCCTTCGCTAGAATATTATGATTAAGGTCGAAGATGAAATCTGATTTCATAAAAGGTCGTGTGATTTCCCCTTATTTGAATTTAGTGGCTTTCATACTTAATTATGACAATTATTAAATTGTTCTTTATTCGGAAATTCCATAATAAAATTTATTTTTAACTCTTTTCCCCAAACAGAATTAATTTTTTAATTTAGAAATCCAAATTCTACCCAAATCCAATTTAAAATGCCCCTTTAAAGTTTGAGTTTATGAATGGCCTTGAAAGTTTAATTTTAATTTTGTAGGTCATCGAACTGAAATACAGATGCTATTAATTTTGAAAGTTTAATTTTGATATAAATTTTCGTCCCCCTGTATTTTTTATGCAACATATTTACCTACAACAAATTAAAGAGATAATTCTACATAAAAAAAGAAAGAATCCCACGAAGAATTGTATTCTTAAACCAATTGGGACACATACATGAGTATCCATTCAAGACGTTATTTTATCCGAAAAGGGCTCTTTCTTAGTATTGATACTCATCTCTCTCTCTCTTATGGTATTAATAATTATCTCTTCAGTCAAGTGTTTGTATTATAATATAACTCTTCCTGTATAATTCACACCTATATATACTTACATATACCTACGTAATACTATGCTCTCATAATACTCACTCTTCCTTTTTCTTCTGCAATTCACAAATCATGGCTCCGGTTCAAATTTTTTTGTCTGATGTCACTCTCAACCTCAAACGCAATGAAGCACTGTTACTACGTGTAGTGCGTAAGTGGGTTGTTCAATACGAGGAAAACAGATTCATGGAATTGGTGTTAGTCGATGAGAAGGTGTGTATGTTACTACGTGTTTTGCTTTTGCACATTCTGGTTACATAATTTCTGGATAGTATCTTAACACTGATTTGCATGTCTTTGCTGCCTTTGCAATTTCTGCTTCTGAATATTCGTGATTTAAGGGCTGTTCATTATCTGTGACTTACATAGATATGGTCAAGTTTGTCAAGGCACAATTGGTTTTTTAACTTGAGAAATCAATGATAATTTTATACATGATTGAGTGATAGTTTATCAAATGTTTTTGGTTGATAGTATTTCAAATGTATTTGTTTTCATTGTAATGTTTTTAGACTGATTACATGCTTTGGTTGCGAATTTCATTGTTTGACCATCCCTTAGATGATAGTATCAAAATATACTTCAAACATATGTGTGTAAATTAAGAAGCATTGAGGTTAATTGTCTAACTGTATATTATGATGATTTCACATAGCGCATGCGTATTCAAGCATCAATATCTCAAACAGAAATCCCACTCTTTGATGATCTGTTGGAAGAAGGTGGGTTGTATGCAATGTTGAGCTTCACTGTCAAGTCAAATAATGGAAAGTGGAGACCTACATCACACCGTTTCAAGCTTCAATTCAATGAAACAACTAAAGTATTGCGTCAGGATCTGCAACAGCATCAGGACTTTCCCCGAGAAATTTACAATTTTACATGTTTCAATGATATTCACAACTATCCTGATGTGGCTGCTCCAGATCTCATCGGTAAGCATTTTTTAGTTCAATGCTATTTATAAATGCAACTTAATAAAATCAAATTATCTAATTGCAACTGTGTATGCTTCACTAATTGGTCTTTTATTTCTTATTTTAAGATGTTATTGGTGCGTACAATCCCCTGGACAAATTCAAGAAGCTTCACACAGATTCAGGATCAACATACACCAGCTTTTATATTCGTGATATCGAGTTACGTATATCAATATTGCACCATTTGGAATTGTATGCTACAAATATTATATATTAATAACAATACGCTCTTCTTATGTTAGCAGAAATAAGAGGCTCTTTTGTACTCTATGGAATGTGTACGTTGACCAGTTTGAGGCATATTTATCTGAACCAAGATCAAGCCCGGTGGTTATTTTGTTGCAGCTGTGCCGTATCAATCCAAAATATGGTTAATTTGTTTACTAAACAAGACAACATTATTATTATGATTTTAATTTTCAATTGAATGAAAAAATATTTCCCTACTTCAATGTTTTAGGTGGATGTTCCACAAAAGGAGTAGCTACATCTTTCCATGTGACAAAACTTCTTCTTGATGCACAAGTTCCAGATATAGAAGATTTCCGTGTGAGGTAAACTTCTATTTAAAACAGTCATGTAAGTACATTTGTAGGTGTAAAATGTTTCCATCTACAATTACTGCAAGTATATGTCCATTATAAAAGTGCACTAACATTTGCACTAACATTCTCTGAGGCATCCGACAACCGTACGCCAGAAAAAGTTGATGAGATTAAAATGTATTACGATTGTCGGTATATCTCTGCGTGTGAAGCGGCTTGGAGAATATTTGGATTCCACATTCATTACAGGGATATCGCGGTTGAACGTCTAAGCTTTCATCTCCCGAACCAACATCACGTCTACTACAATCCTGAACAATCTGTCACTTCCGTGCTTGGACGTCCTACTATCCACGCCACTAAGTTTTTAGCTTGGATGCATGCAAATAATGTGTATCCTCAAGCTAGGAACTTAACTTATGCTGAATTTCCTACAAAGTTCACCTGGAAAAACAATACAAGAGAGTGGGTACCACGACAAAGAGGCACCGCAATTGGAAGACTATATTTCATGCGCCCAGGAGCAGGGGAGAAATATTATTTGAGGATGCTCCTTGGTGTTGTGAAGGGTGCAAGGAGTTTTGAAGAACTCAGGACAGTTGATGGAGTCATACACTCGACGTTTAGAGAAGCTTGCTCTGCCCGTAATATGTTAAATGACGATAAAGACTATATAGATGGACTTATAGAACAAAGCCATTGGGCAACAGCGCATGAACTTCGCATCACATTTGTTCATCTTTTACTACAAGAGTCATTATCTATGCCCAGTATGGTTTGGGAGAAGTGTTGGTCCTATCTATCTGATGATATACTCTACACTATTAGGAAGAACCTCAATGATCAAGGTATGTTTATTATGTAATGGCATTCCTTAAATTTAGATATATTTAACAAACGATAATATTAAGAGTAATGTAGATGGACTGTAATCAAGATATTTTGAAATTAAAAATTGCCTTTTATATATTACATTTAAATATTATTATTCACTAATATCAAATATTTGACCCTTATGTTGTAATAAATTGCATATCTCGGGGTAAAATTTACTCTTATGTCATAAATAATTTTTAAATATTAAGGACTTCACTAAAAAAGTGTTCATAAATACTTCTATATATAATTTAATAATCTATTTTTAGATAGTAGTTGGTATAATATTTTGTTTCTGCAGCATCAAATTTACGGATGTGTTGATTGTTTATAACACCTACAAAATCAATGGTTTAACCATATAGAATTTAAAAACAATCTAATTACTTCTTAAATGTATTGATATTAAATTTGCAATAACCATTTTTTTTTACAGAATTGCAGCTGGATGAGAAGCAAATAAAGAATTATTGTTTGTTGGAAGTTGAAAAACTTCTACAACATCGTGGAAAGTCTCTATTCTACTATGACGGAATGCCTCGAGTAACGGATCTTGACATCCCCTCTCTTGATGATGTTTTGATACACGAGGAATTGAGATATGACAAACATGCTTTGGCGGAGGAACATGATAGATTAATTTCCGCGTTGACAGAGGATCAAAAGCGTGTTTACGAGACAATAGTGAGTTCTGTGGAGGCCAACCGTGGCGGTGTGTTCTTCTTATATGGACACGGTGGTACAGGGAAAACATATCTGTGGAAGACCTTATCAGCATATATAAGACATCAAGGAAATATTGTGTTGAACGTAGCTTCTAGTGCGATCGCATCATTGCTCCTTCCTGGTGGAAGAACGGCACATTCCAGGTCAGTTTTTTAGATTTAAAAAATTGTAATTTCAAATAAATACTAACACAATGAATTGTAACTTTCAGGTTTAAAATCCCACTCACAGCAGCAGAAGATTCAACTTGCAATATAAAGCCAGGAAGTGCCCTTGCGAAGCTAATTCAAATGACGAAATTGATAATTTGGGACGAGGCACCTATGACTAATAAGTACTGCTATGAAGCTCTTGATAGGACTATGCGGGATATTCTTCGACATTCATATGGTTGTGATGGGAGCAAACCTTTTGGTGCAAAAACAATTGTCTTTGGCGGAGACTTTAGACAGATTCTACCGGTAATTCCAAAGGGTAGCAGGCAAGATATTGTGCAAGCGACTTTGAACTCATCCTTCCTTTGGCCGTTTTGCAAGGTACTAAGGCTAACGAAGAACATGAGAGTGCGGAGTGGATCAGACGATCTTAATTCTGCAAACATACAATGGTTCATTGATTGGATTTTAAAGATAGGGGACGGGGTTCTAGGTGACAATGAGGATGGAGAATCATATATTCACATACCTGAAGAATTCCTCGTGCCTTGGATTTCTGATCCAGTTACTTCTATTGTCCAAAGTACATATCCCGATTTCTTGACACATTGCACATCGCCATCATATTTAATGTCAAGAGCAATACTTGCGCCAACAGTTGACGAGGTGGATAAGGTTAATGATTACATGCTCGCACAACTACCATCAGAAATGAAGACATATTTCAGCTCTGATTCTGCATCATTGTCTGATTCTGATAGTAGTTTGTTGCAAGAGATCCATTCTCCAGAATACCTTAATGGAATCAAATGTTCCGGAGTACCTAGCCATGAGCTCAAATTAAAAGTGGGTGCCCCTGTGATGCTTATGAGGAATCTTGATCAATCATTGGGTTTGTGTAATGGCACTCGGCTTTTAGTGACCCGACTTGGAAAAAATGTTATTGAGGCCCAAATGTTGTCAGGGCCAACTGCCGGCCAAAAGCATTTCATTCCCCGTCTTACCTTGACTCCTTCTGATGTCAAACTGCCATTCACCTTTCAGCGTAGGCAATTTCCTCTTATGGTTAGTTATGCGATGACTATAAATAAGAGTCAGGGTCAGTCATTGGAAAATGTTGGGATATTCTTACGGCGACCGGTTTTTAGCCATGGGCAGCTTTACGTTGCTGTATCAAGAGTCACGAGTCCAGCTGGTTTGAAGTTTTTGATATGTGATGATAATGGTAGACCGACAAACTCCACATTAAATGTTGTATACAAAGAGGTCTTTACCAATTTGTAGTTTTACATTTTGCCTTGAATAAATTTGAGAACATTTTAATTTTAATTCCATATTACAATATTATGCACTCATTTGTAAAAATAATTTAATTATTGTTAAAATAATCAACTTTTCATCCCGTGCAACGCACGGGTTAGATGACTAGTAACTATTAATGTGAGTAGTTAAGGGGATATCCACGGGTAATATTCATGGGATAAAACAAAGAAAGTTATTTAAAAAATGTGTTGTCAAAATTATAGGCACTTCTTCATCATCAATATAAAAAGTATTTGAAATTTATCCGACTGAATTATTCTCAATGACATTTCTTTCATGTGTAGCAAAAAAGAAATACCAATGAAAAAGGAATTTCATCATTCCATGACCTAAAAGATAGGTCAAACATCAATAAGCGACCTATCAGTATAGGAGCTAAATAATAGAAAGGTATTGATCTAAGACCTAAAATAACATGGATTTTGATTTATGTAAATATTTTATTTACTCTGTTAATAATTTGTGATGATTCTATCTTCACAAATTTTTATAGTAAAAAGTCTATTAGTTTTATAAGATTGAATGATATTTAAATTTCTAAAATAGAAGTATCGACATTCATGATATTTTATTTTTTATATCTTACGTTGTACTTGTGAGTATTTTTCCTTAACTACTCTCAATAATATTTATTCCACTATGGAGTAGCTAAGTAGAAAAATAATGATCAACAATAATGAATTATAAATATGATAATAATTTGTGTTTTAATTTAAAAATTAATTTTATAAACAATTTTCATTAAATATAAGAGTTATATTAATTTTGATTTAACAAAAATTAATGTGAGGGGCAAAGAATGAGAATGATCCAAACTCAGGGAGTAACTAATTGGTTTTTAAAAATGCAAGGTTGCATTCATAATTATGACATAACCTCAAGGGGCTAATAGTAATTATCCCTTTTTATAAATCAACAGAATTAGCTAATTTAGCCACTTCTATTAGAACTTCATAAATTTCAACAGAATCGATCAACAGAGTCGATTTGGGTATTACTAAACAGGCTCTAAGTATGTTTTATTACCCAAATATGACTCATTGGGTCCTACCAAAAGAATAAATTAATTAAAACATCACAAAATAAGAGTAAATGAGTCCTTTTGGGGGAAAAAACAAGGGGGAAAAAACTTAAAAACATATATACCCTTCTAGTATGGGTGTAGGAAAAAGTATCCATGTTCTATTTTTGGAACAAATAAACCCCTGAAGTTTATGTGGAAATGCATATATACCCCTAAAAACTTTTAAAAAGTTAAATAATGTCCCTCGTGTTCCTATAAAGAGCTAATGCACCTTTATTGACTTTAAATAGATAAAATAAATTTCAAAAAACATCAAAAATAAATTATAAATTTGAAATTGAAAAAAAAATAAAAATAAAAATATACTTGTGTCCAATTATCCCTTTTATTATTTTTATATCAAAATTTAATATTGTTAGTATAAAGTATTGTATAAATTTTAACTATATACTATATTTAAGATTCTTTCAGAAAAGTGTTAATATATGTGTTGCAGTGTAAAAGAATCATTAATTTTCCGTATTCTTTAAACTATAAAAGTACATATTTTTTATGCCAATAAATAGTAAAAGAGTGAATTTAACTTTATTAAGGTTAAACAAAACCAGATAAAAAAATGTTATTTCAAAACATGTAACAATGTGTTCAAAATTTTGCAACAAGACTGAAATTAATATTTATGAATTTGAGGTGTTTCAGGGGTGTATATATGTGTATGTATATATATATATATATATATATATATATATATATATATATATATATATATATATATATATATATATATATATATATTTATATATATAGGGTAAGGTTCAAGTGAGAAGAACCCTTTGGGTGAGAAATGAGAATGAATCTCAGCCATTGGATTCGACTAAGTTGCAGCAAAAGACACTTCATGATGCACTGAAATATGCAATCTAGCACGGTGGCATTTCTGTAAATACTTCTGAAAAATCCGTATTACACGTGTCTAGTGCAACATGAAGCTATTTCGGTGCAACGCCGTCAGATATTAGTGCAACATGAAATAGTTTTAGTGCAACATGTGCAAAATTTAAATATTACTGCAACATAAAGCCAATTTTAGTGCAACTTCTTAAATCCAATGGCTGAGATTCATTCTCATTTCTCACATTTGATGCATTTCTCACCTGAACCAAAATATATATATATATATATATATTTATTTATATATTTATATATATTTATATATTTATATATTTATATGCACCTCCACATATATAATATATATCTATATATATATTTATATATTTATATGCACCTCCACATAAATCTCAAGGATATATTTGTTCCATAAAATAGTAAAAGATATATTTGTTCTCACACTCATACTGTAGGGGTATATTTGTACATTTTCCCATAAAACAATGATAGTCCTATTTATGAAATTTAATATTATTGTATGGTTTTGTTGGATAATGCAAGTAATTGAATGCTTTTAATTAATTGTTCACAAACAGTCAATTGCCGCTTCAACATTTATTGTAGAAGAATAATGATACAAGTGACTATAATGTCATATTCCTAACAAATTAATCAAAATAGGGGTATAACATAGTTAAAATTCCAAAATATAATTGATTGCATTTTCTTCAAAATGTATGACATATTTAAATGGATACAAGAATAACTATTTACTTAATTTGTGGAAGAAAATAATGATACTCATATTTAAGAAAATATGTTAATAGCTAATTAAGAACGGCACATGGGCGAAGTTAGGGGCCAGCTTAGACCCCGATCCACACTAAATTTCAATTTTATTTAAATTATTAGGGTAAATATATGATTCGTGCGACCCAATCTAAAATACCGGCTTGGCTATGTCAATTCGTATGAACTCATTTGATAACACTAAAACTGATTGAATCGTTGGAATCCATTAAAATTGATTTAATAGACCCCTTTAGAAATTTCATCCTATTGAGTCGTGAAGTAACATTAATCCTACTCATTTTGATTGTTATACAATTCTAGATTTTCTGCATATGAAATTAAAAACAATGTACTTCATAAAATCTGTTTAATAAAATCAATAAATTGAAAATACGATAATCTAATTAACGGGCAACGGCCCATATCTAAGTACTAGCGGGTCATATATATAAGCAAAAAGCAAAAAAAAAAAAAAGAAAAAAAAAAGAGAACGCTGGCTAAGAGTTGAACAATGAAAGAGGATGCCATTATTGGTTCATTGATTATATTATTTTGATCGCATGATATGACGGATGATATTATGATATTCTTTTTTTTTTTTTTTTTTTTTTTTTTTTTTTTTTTTTTTTTTTTTTTTTTTTTACTCCAGGGGGGTTCTGGGGGAGGGGGCCGGGGGGACCTGGAGTGATCAGGGCTGAAACTCTTTCCATTGAGTTTCTAACCCTTGTGTGCCTAGCGGGATTCGAACTCGAAACCTCCCACTAGGCACGGTAACCTCACAACCAGATGGGCTGGAATGCTTGGTTTGATATTATGATATTCGAATTGCAGTAAACCCTAAAGTCTTTGGGTCCTTTTTTAACCACTTCAGATTGTAAATCACTAGAATACAAAAAATGCCGAAAGATATGAAGAATTTTAGAAAAAGGAAATGGACGGAATTTTCAAATAAGAAATGGTCGGAGTTACACATGAGTACACTATCTTCCTTCTTTATTACGGAGTACTTGTCATCCAAAATGGTAGAAAAGGTGTGAATGAAAAGAAGAAAAATAGGAAAACTGAGAAAGAAATTAAAAGAAAAAATATGCGATCTATAAAACACACGAACAGAGGTGTGGATAGATAGGGCATGAGCTGGATTGGGCCAGTACGTATTGAAAAAAATGAATAAGTTTTTCACAAATTTTTTACACCAATAATTAAGGTTTTAAGAAAATCAGGTGAGTCGAGACTCATATACAAAAATATCACTACTAATTAACTACTCTGTATAATATAATCGCATTTTCACTTAATGTAAAAATTGAAAATAAATTACTATAACTAAAATTATTACCATTATGATTAGGAGGTTATACTTTTGTTAAGTGCTAAGTACAAATAAAAAAGAATAAGTTAAGTGGTTAAGTACAAATGAACATGTGTAAAATTTAACTTTTTAAACTTCAAATAAATTCCTTTTCACGTGTTTATTTGATTTGTAGTGATGTCATCTCGCTTATGTCTTGGTGTTATTGAGAAGAGAAGAGAAAAGTAAAAGATGAGACTTTTCATTTTATGTATCATTGGTAAAAGAGAAATGTGGGGTAGGAGCACCTCAACATAAATGCATTTTTATGCAAATTATACCGTGGGATCGGCCCACCGTGCGCATGGTGTGCCGATCCCAAACGACCCCGTTTTGATTAATGAAAATCACTCACCGTCTTTCGATTTATAAAGTTATGCCCTAGCATACTATATTTGGAGCCGGAAGAAGCCATCGCCGGAAGTTGTCGCTACTGGATCTCGATTCCTCCTACTGAGCCGTCCCCTACCGCATACTATATTTGGAGCTGGAAGAAGCCATCACCGGAAGTTGTCGCTACTGGATCTCAATTCCTCCTACTGAGCCGTCCCCTACCAAGCTATATATATCGATGTTTTCTCTGCAATCTTCTCCTCATATGGACGCCTCTGGATGGTGGAAGAGAAAGCTCTGCTACAACGTACAAAACATCTGGAGCCTGTCCGACTGACAAGGGGATGAGGATTTCGGCTTCTGGCTCCTAAAGCAGGCAGTGGATTTTTGCATCGGGGGTTTGCGCGTGTACATTTTGAAACGTAGATTTGGCTCAAAGTGTTCTCTTCGAACATAGATTTACATTGACTTAGAAAAGTTACATTTTTATTATAGAGATTTACATTTCTGTTTATCTGAAGTTACATATTTATTAGTGTGAGTTACATTTGTTTTTTTCAATAAGTTACATCTTGATTACACTTGATGTACATTTAATATATTGCGAGTTACATCACAAAACAATGCGAGTTACACATCAAAA